TTGCGACAGTATGACGAGTTTCGAATATTATCGAAAAACAAAAAATAATATTATAATAATATATCCACTGGAATTCGATCTTCCTAAGAGTATGTCCATATATTACATATTATTATTTTGTAAGGCGTTATTGTAGTGTACTATATGGATAAATAAAATAGTATAAATACACGCATCTCAATTAATAGCTGTAGGTATGTAAGGACAAACGATCGACGACGCGCCGACTCGCCATCGATCCGATCGTTTATTGTGTTTGAGTGGGTATTCCTACTATATTGTTATGTTTATGTAACGACGATCGATTGTATTGGCGAAAAGACGTCCGTTCGTTCCATATGTAATAACATAATCACATACACGTACACGCAAATTAAAATGTATTATCTGTATAATCGAAAAACCTTGCGCAACGATATTTACGAAACGGATCGAGCAGCAGTTAGCAATACAAGAATATTCCTAATAGGAATTTGAAATTCAAAAGGTCTGCACTCTGGTGACAGTTTATTGTATCAACGTAATGGCCTATAATTATCTAAAGCTATTATAGATATCCGGATCCGTATAGAGTTGAGTGTTGAGACGTAGCTACCGTGTATACGCACTAGCGCATTCTTCGACCACTATGACGACGCGAGGACGAACATTTAAAATAATGATAAAACATACGGCATCAGCGGCATACGCGGGGGTAATGTTCTAGGGTTTTAACCGTCCCACCCCCCGAAATGTCTTCCACCTTTCAACATTTTTTTTTTTTAAGTTTTAGTAGTAATAATTTTTACGGTTAATTTTAGTACAATTAAAAAAAACATCTGCGATTATAAGATAGGTATGCGTACGTATCACGGTTATTTAAACGTATATAGATAACCGTAGTAGATACACGTATATATTATATTTAATAGAAAGCTATATTATTCCGTGGTGATACGTAATCTTATTGTAGCGATACGACGGTTAAGGGTATGTTCATTATAAATATAAATAAATAAAAAACCGTTATTGTTTAACTTTTAAAAATATGTGCATATTGTTTAGTTATTTTATTATTTGGGTTCATGGTATATATTTTACTAACACGTCTTTTTTTTTATAATTATCAAATTAAGTACAAGATCTTAAGTGTTAAGATAAATATAAAAATAGAGATTTGGAAGAATTATTTTATTCTCTAAAGAGAAGTAAAAAAACCTACCCTTCCCTACAAACGATAACCAACAATTAACATAAAACTCATGCAAGCATATTTTTATTTTATTTTATCTTCGTAAAAAATTGTATTATGAATACATCAAAAATGTATTATACAATCCTAATTCGCTACCGAGGCAGTATGCGTTTGTAATTTATTGACAATAATCGATAAAATAATTATACACTGCTGTTACATATCAGTACCTGGATTATTTTAATTTTAACTTTAATATACAAAAATAGAGTTTATAAGTCATAACATAACTTAGCACGATTTCACAAGAAATAAACAGCTCGAAACAAAAATAAAAACAGTTTACAAAAGCAGTAATATTTTAAGCTGTGGTATAGCATTATAGCCGATAAATTGAGCATAAGCCACGGAAGGAAAAATAAAACAAAATGTATCAATGTAAAACCCGTTTTTTAAATTAAAAAATATGGGTTTCGGTTCCGGTTCCGGTTATTTGAAAATATTTAAATTCAGTTCTGGTTCCCAATATTTTAAGGGTTTTTGGGTTCCAGAACCGGTTCTTTTCGGTTAGATTTCAGTCCCTGGTTTAGATTTTTAATAAAACTCATGTAAAAAAATTTACCACCATTTATTATGTAGAGTTCTCATACAAATCACACAAAATTCTTTTAATCTGGTGGCTCTGTGGTGAAAAACGCGTAACAAGCGCAAAAAAGACACTACACCTTAATGTACATGAGAATTCCGCAAGAAACCTCATTCGAAAATTCATTTTTCTGAGGTTTCAGAGGAGGTCGTGCAGTATTTACCATAATCCATTTTTTGTCTACACGACCATGAAGTTGGCACCTCCACTTAAGTGCTATAAAGCTATTGGCTTCAAACCGACGTCGGTATTTTGCAAATGATTTACGAAAATAAGCAACGTTAGTTTTAAAATTTTTAATACCTCTTTTTCTCCAAAGTTCACGCAGCACTCCTACTTGTAGTTAATTTCAAAATTAACGTTGTATATTATTGTATATTAGTTGCAAAATATTGACGTTGGTTCGAAGTCGATAGCTTAGAGTGTGGGTGCTAACTTCACGTTCGTCTTGTCTAAAGAGGACCGTACGTTACTAACTATATGTATCTAGAACCGTAATATCTAGATCTCGTATTTACCGAGATTCCCTAGTTCTGGTTTGGACCGATAAATTAATTTTACCCCCCGCATACCAGTACGCTGCAGTATCGTATGTCAGTATTTTGTATGTGAGTTACGAGACACAAACACTGAAACAGCGACGCCCCCCTCTTTTAGGACTGTAATCAAAAATCAAAATTATATATATTAATCATTGACGTAGTTGAACATAAAATATCAAATTCAATTTATGTTAATCAAAATATACGCCCAATAATGTGTTATTATATTGCCGGATGTGTAAAACTAGTAATCGTATACTGCACGTCTACGCCTCATAATTATTTATTATATATTTAGCATTAAATATTTATTAAATGACAATTTGGTAATAATTATAACGACTGCGATGTACGATGCAGACAAAAAATAACTCGATTACCAAACACACAGAGTAATCAACTTAACGAAAGACGTTCATTATTTCGGGAATAAATATGAATTTATTATTCGGAATTTGGGTTTTTTAAAAAATATATGAAACCAGCGGCTATAAAATGTTCAATTACCGTTATTACTCGTCAACCTTATTTTGGGGATGAAAACATTACCCAAGTCTGAATAGTGGAACACCATTCAAACGCAGCGCGCCTTGCCACCATAAAAATGACGCTCTACTATTCTTTTCCTACCCACACTCCTACCTATATACGTAAAATTTAAAAGTGACAAATCTCGTAAACTGGAAAGTTACAAATTTCAACATCACTATTAGTTTATTTAAACTAAAACTTCATCTATTTATAGAGTTTGCAATATAGGTTGCTATTTTAAAATAAAAAATAGGTAGTGGTTTCACTCTAAAAAGGTAACAATAAAAAAACGTAAATGTAACATTTAAGAGATGCTCCTTATTAGAAATAATTTATTTAAAAAAAAATGAATTCCGAAAAAAGTTAATACTTTCCGAGGTTATGAGTATCTTACGTCTTGTTTACCACTATATACACACTATATAATATCGGTACCCTCGGCTCTTTATAATTATATAGGTACTGCCGATGTCATTATTATAATGTGAGTTTGAATACTTCTAAAATGTTATATGTTGTAAAGAATGAATTTTTCTTGGTGTGCGTAATACGCAATAATATGACGGTAAATAATAACGAATGATGTTCAACTGAGAATTGTAAATATTTTGCCATTCCCCCGGCTTTTCTACAATATTTATAATACGTATTGTATATGATTTACACAGTGACGTCATACCTACTTAAACTCTAAAGAGAATACAGGAGTTAATTTATTTTTTTGTGTATATAATGTGCATGGCCATGTATAATATGTATTATGATAATAACAAATAAGAATTCATATTATTGTTAAAAAATGTTAAACATCTGTGAATTCTTCGATAATTAGATTAAATTATGTATATATGTATAAAAAGCTAATAGGTACTGCTGATAGGTGTGCTAAATTTTTTTTTACTCTGTTCAACTTTAGACAATTTAATAATGTAACTTTTATATCACCTTCTTAACTTCCCAATTATAGCAATAGCACACCTGTCAGATAAACCTATCAGCTTTTTATACATATATATAATTTATAAATGGGAATAAATGGGAAGTTAATAAGACGGTATAGAAGATACATTATTATATTGTTTAAAGTTGAACAGAGTAATAAACATTTCTTTCTCCCAGCTGGTTTTCGCGCCGATCTGATGTTATGGCCGGTTATCAGATCTGGCGGCATCATACTCCTCCTTGTTGATCAATCGTTGCTCAACACTGAGACAAATGGATACAGTTTTGAGTTAGACGTTTAGAATTTCTGTCTCCTAGTAGTCCTATTGATGCCACGTGCGCCACTCTGTCCGTACGCAGGTAAAATTATTTTACCTTCGCGGTTTTCCATTGCAGAAACGGGAATTGGTTATCCTTCATTAGACCTAGCTGTCCTACCATTATAGGTTTGCTTTAGTTGGTCCACTTCTTTCGGGTATTATTTTGTAGATAAGCTGTTGACCACATCTTTCAGAACACGTTCATTATTGCTTGAATCCGCTTTATGAGTGATGGGTTAATGTGAGTTTCTTTGTTCTATCAAGAAGTAACAAGTTCGATTCGACCATAAAGTGGGTGGGTGTCAATATCATAAAATCTGAAATCTCTTCTGACATGATGAACAGTAATAAGGGCGCGAGTTGTCTCTACTCTAACATAAACAAGTGGCGTATTCCTCGAATACAAGGGCTGTTAGTCCTATTGAACAGATGTGATAATTTTTGGCTCCCTTTACGGCAGCCTTCCAGATAACTCTAAAGTTCGGAGAAAAAGACGGTATGAACTTCTATTTGATGCCTCATTTTGCTGCCGTTGATAATACTGAGGTACCTTCATACTTGTATCGTTTTTTATAATACGTATTTACTGTTGTCCGAAAAATTGTTTGGTGTAGTCGAATCATGAATCACGTGGAACAAATTTTACAATTATCAATTATTTTCTTTTCAATAACAATTTACGTTACCTTTCAAGTCTTTATAGTTATTTGTAATGCTATTAAAAATATGTAATAATAATAGTTACATAGTATTTTATGCATCTTTTTATCAATTCAAATTATACATTCAAGATAGGCACTTCGTCAATAGAAGATAACGCTCACCAGCTGGAGGAGCTCGTGCAATTATCTACTAGAAACTGATAGAGTACGTGTATGTGAAATATAAAAATTTGCACTAAATATGCCCCAATATTTCATATGGAACGTAAAAATGTGCACTAGTGCATCCGGCGCAGTCATGTGTAAAACGATATTAAATAACGTTTGAAATTTTCTTTGTTTGCTGTTGTCGATAGGTCGCTGACCAGCTCCAGGTGAACTGCCACTGTCTTGAAATAAATGAACACTGCGATGTATAGGCACTTCCAGACACCAGGTTTTTAAAAACATCGGGCCATACAAATCTACTCGGTTATTGTAAAGGCTCTGCTTGGAGTAATTCGTTCCGGTAGTAGTTCTTCCATACGTGGTTGAGTTGATTTTGGATTGATGTGGAAACATTTTAGACAGCTGTTGATAATTTTCCTTGCAAACTACCTGCCGTTAATTTACCAGACCTATAGTCCTATGTGGGCTAACAAGAGTTGGGGCCCCACATGCAATAATTTCTCGTGCATGTAAATAATTACAGATTTTAACGATTTAAATCCCCGAAATGTGTTAACCTTCATAAAATAACTGATTATTTATTGGGATATACGGAGTGATCATTAGGATAATATCTTAAGTATTCTAAATGTTAGGATACTATCTTAAAAGTATCCTGAATGTTAAACTAAACCTTGCTAGGCCAATTGAATGAATTTAAAGCTTGTGTGTAGGTACTTAATATTTATATTGATAAATTAGTTATCTTCAACTCACTTGGAAAAGCTTAGATTTAATATTTAGGACATAATTTTCCTTTTAGTGATTCAGCCACGTGCAAAGGTAACAAACGTATTTTCTCGTTTATAGATTAAAGCAGATAAATTGCACAATTGCTACGTAATATGAGTACATTCGAGTTAAAAGGATGTTATACTTGTATCTACTGTCTTAATCCAACTACCAGGTAACATGCAACGAAAATATTAGTACAGAATAAGTAAAACTTGCTTAATTTTGATTTTAGAATAAAAGTGACTAAAATGAAATTTATAGAGAACAATATTTTGGAGGGAATGCTATAGGGTTTTTCAAAATATACAGCTCAGTATAAAAGGTACCAAAACATTTCTTTTTCTTTTTCAAACAACTGTAACTGTTTTAATAGTTGATACTTCAAAACAACAACTATAATATTTCCTCCAAAATATTGTTCACTAAATAAATTGTATAATAGGTACTTTTGCTCTAAAATCAAAATTAAGCTAGTTTTACTTATTCTGTGTAAGCGTTGTTTTTGCATGTTACCCGGTGGTAGTTTGACTGAGGCAGTAGATGTAGGTATAATGTCCTGTTAAGTACATTTTCTTCGTGTAATTACTATAAACCTTTGAACTATTATCGATTCCTTCAAAGAGTTTAAACCATATCCCTCCATATGACTTGTATGCGTTTAGAATTGAGAATATAGCCAAAAGTTATGCGAATTAAAATGTCGCGTACTATATTATTATATTTCGCCTTCTCTCCGTATTTTATAATATATTATCCAAAACTATAAACGGCAGCGTTACCCATATTTTAATTCCCATTATTAGGCAATCGCATAGTTACATAATATTGTTGATATTTAAATAATGTATTTAATTGATTATGGTGTCCGTATCGTATTCATATTCAGAAAAAAAAAATATCAATGAGTCCGGCTATTTAAATTTATTATTAGGTATCTATAGGTTTAAAACAATCAACAAGGACTAAGGTAATACGAATTTTAAATTTAAATGTGATATTATACTTTTCGTTCTTGAAGTACAATTAAAATTTTTTCGCACACAAATTTACAGTCCACTAGTTTTATTATTTTACACTGCATTAGTTATTAATTTCAAATAATTTGGAGGCTCCAATATCAAATGTCAAATTATTATAATAATACCGTATGTAGCGCTTTATAATTTAAAAAGCTACGGGTATATTATAGCGGAGCTCCGTCACAGCGTTACAATTGAAACGTTTTATATATTTCTCAGTGTAAAGAATACTAGAAATTGATTAAAACAAATTTTTTTTTCTAATCATATAAGCTCAAAATTTATTAGTACAATACAAATACTATCCGTTCTATAATGGATGAAATATTTCCATTTAAAAAAAAAATTGTAAACCCAGTGGCCTATATGTAGGACACCGGAAATAATTATTGTTATCAGTTTTATTTTTAGAATTTTCCCCATATTATCGATTTAGACTGTTGAAAAATATAATAATCGACCCGATGATATTATTTTGCGTTGTATAGTCGAACGTTATTACGCGTTAGTAACATTTTTTACACATACAAAAATTAACCTTGGGCGTAAATGGGTTAATTTTTTTTAAACTAATGTTTTACAACATTCGGTGTTTGTATAATCACTACTCGTAAGTTGTATATTTGATGGTTTTGTGTTAAATTCAACTTCCCACGATATCAGGTTATTTTTTAATTACCCTCTGTTTAATTTATTAATTTATTTTCATGAATTCAAATTTTAACTGAAAACGTAAAAATGACGTCATTTCAAAACACATTAAACCGAATTTTATTCAGAATCGTTTTTCGTTAGAAATGATTAATATTTACTATAGATATAGATTAGAAAGGTGTACATAAAACTCCTCTCTATATGCTAACATCTCATATTCAACAGTGGTCCACCCATTGTGCGATATGTCCGTTATTTTTTTTTTTATTATTTCATATGATGGTATAAAAACTGTAAAAATTCGTCATTTTTTTAAAATATATTATTTGTGATGTCTTCAATAAATATGTCTACATATATATTATTACTAGGGCTTGGAAGTTATTGGCTAAGAAAAAGATTTAAAAAAATCAGATTTTTTTTTTGTGGAAAAAATCAAATATGCGTATGAAATTCGATGAAATATGCAATTTTTCCATACAATTTACAGAGTATGAAAAATGTGAACTTTAAATGTATGATGTTTAAATTCCCCATTGTCTAACTTGTTGCGCGTTGTGATGAATGAATTTCTAGCTTGGTATGTTATAAATTGAGAGCATACAGAACAATATCAGATCCCTAATCATTACATTTTAAACGTATTCATTTTGGGATCAACAGAAATGAAAGGAGATGGTGGTGACGGCGAATACTTTTAAAGAGTATTAAGTGAAAGACGAAGAAGAAGAAACGCATTAATATTTGAGTGCCTTAATACTTAAATTATTTTTTCATATGAGAAATTTATGTTATATTACTACGTTAGAACTTGTATAAATGATACACGAAAAAAAAACGAATTCATCGCCAATTACGTAGAAATGTATGTACAAATAAATAAAACCTTAGTATAGGTTCTTTTTACCGTTCCTCGACGGCCAACAGGCGATAGCTATTTTTTATACTTACTCTTTTTACGCTTCGTATCGCTTAGTTACACTTCTATAGTCGCGTCAGTTGTATTTGCTATACCGCTACATATAGTTGTATGTGAATTTCACCAGGGAGTGTAGTACGGGGTGATTTTTTTTATCATGAACCATCAAAAGGTTATAAATTGCATGTTTCCGCTCTAAATTTTAAACGGTTTACGTGTTATCAAACGGTAAATCTGATATTATTATTATGCATGTCAAAATTCTAAATAAATATTCCCCTATTCGAATCGGTTCCCTATTCTGAATCAAAAAGTGAGGTTCCTATATGAAATATAAACTTGCATACTTACTTAAGGTATGTATATGAAATAGGAGTACAAAATTTAAATTGCTTTATGATAAAGCTTTAACGATTCCACAACGATTAAATTAAAACAGAAATATAATTCACTTAAAATCATCCAAAAAAATTGCTGATAAAATCGTGATATCGTTTATCGTGATAAAAAAAAAAAAAAAACACTCCGTATGAGCATTATGGTATCCGTTCCAGTACCTAGGAAGCATCAGACGTTCGTGGTTTGTTCATTTCAATTGGCCGCGTGCCGGTAGTGTCATTTAGTGCTGCTCTTGCGGTTAGGCTATTGATATATTTACAAACCGTTGATGGTGTCACAGTGGGTTAACACGGCACCTATAAATCATTGTTATCGGTTCTGACAACGACGATTACAAAACATATTTATTGCGGTTACTTTTGTTCGCATAATTTTTCCGCTGTGGTTTCAAGCAATAAAGTTACTTTCGATTTTCAAAGTTCGGAACGGACGTGACCGAAATCTCTGCGACGAAGCAATTTTTCATTAATTTCATTGACAACAACGACGACAGATTTCCGCACCAGCACGACAAAACACAAGCCCGGTAAATTTGAAACGACCAACCAGCATCGAGCTGTCGTCAAAAGTCTAGTGTGCCACCACGGGGTTTACGTCGTGCCTCTAGACGTTTGCTGATATCGTAGCTAGGTTGAAATAAACCGCATAAAAAGCTTAGGTATATATACTCGGAATAATAGAAGTCCCCATTTAAAGTAGACAATGTATAATTTTTTTTTTAGATTTAATTACACAATTTTTTACTATTAACAACCGTAAAACATTAATTATTATTTCCGTACAGTACATATTATTATGCAGAACGAAATTTCATCGTGATAATATAATATCCACAAAATTTTGTCTAATAAAAAAAATTACGCACAGACAGAATACTATTGAAAGTATAGTTAAAATAATTACTTGTACTTTGTCATTTAGACGTCCCGCGCGATACGAGAAACCGAATTATTGTACAATATATTCGACTGCGTTTTCTATTAATAATATTATACCTGCGTGTATTTTCGGTATTTTAGTTCTATCATTAAAATGATAAAATACCTACGGGTGTAACCTAGGCTAATATAATGTATGGAATAGAGAAGATTTTTTTTTTTGTGTTCTTTTCGAGTAAAACTCAAACACTAATCGACTTATTAAATACCAGTTTGCAGACTCCTGGAGTACCATAGTTGTAATAATATGTATTAGTATATAGGTATTCTATAATTTACGGGTTCTCGCGCTCGAGTTATTTTACGGAAATTGAATTTTTTCGTTTGCATAATTTTTGATTTCAATTGGTTACCTGCATGGAAAAAACTAATTAAAATTATAGTAAAAAAACAAACGAAAGATACAGTTGTGATTATGTTTCGGTTTGATACAAAAAAAAAAAGGTACTATATTTCGTTCGGGTCATTTCCAAAACTATTGATTCGATTTAAACGCAGATTATTACATTTCGTAATTAAAAAAGAAAAAAAAAAGAATTGTTATTGAGGATGGGTATGCCACCGTTGTAGGTGGAAAGATAGAAAACATAAAGTTATTTAATTTATATATGTACGCAACGATAAACCGTTAATAACGAAAAACTATACTGAGCGAATTTCGGTCATAGCTACGGAAATGCAGTCATTTTT